TTTGTTCCATTTGTATGGAAATTAACTCTTAGCCATTAAGAGGTGAAATATCCACTTACAAAGATTCTCTTATGCTCAAGTCACTAAGAGAGTTATAATCTATAAATGGGAGTTATAATCTATAAATGGGAGTGATAATGATTATGAAGTGTGTATCCCTTAAGAGATACTAATTATATTTATAAAATTAGTAATGTGAACCTATACTCTTATTAAAATAATAATAATAATGTAATAAATAGTAACATAATAATAAATAATAACTAATTAAAATCTTGTTATAATATATAAACATGGTTTAAATAGATGTAAATTAAGTTATTCCGTTATAAATAGGCTTAAAAGAATTTATTAAACAATGTTATTTAATATGTTTTTGAATCGGATAGGAACAAAGTGTTTTTAGTATAAACAATAGATAACTTTTAAAAAAATAAAACTTCTTAAATTGTGCAAAAAGCTAAACAACTAATCTAGATTTATGTTAGTTGGTTGAAAATGTAGATAATAAAATGTAAGAAAGGTAGAACTCTTTTACCTTATGCAATAATAATATGGTTAAAGGATACGAATTAACTCTTTGTTTTAGTAGGTAATGTTACTCTGGACTTAGTAATTTTATTCTTTTTAACTTCTGTAACGATAATATAGTTAAAGCATGAATTAACTCATAGTACTATTAGTCTATGAGGCTCAATAATTTTATTCTATAACATGCTATATAAACTTCTATAATATTCCAACATATTTAGAAATAAAGAGTCTAAATTTTCCAGAAGAAATTTCTATTTTATGCTTTTTAATATCCTTTTGTAATTTCTTTATTCTTACTTTTATTACTCTCTCTAAATATTTATTTTACATTTTTCTTTTTATCTTTTAATACTTAGTTTTCTTTTGAGGTTGTCAACACACTTTCTTTACAATATTTCTCGTAATATTCTAATGACGGTTTCTTTTTATTATAATAGTAACTGTTTTTCTCAACTGTGTTAATTATTTTTATCACTGAACACACAAATACCACTGTACTATATATTTGTACTGATACCTATACAGTTATTGTAATGTTTATATTATTTAAAACTTTTTTATTTGAAATATTGAATATATTTTAATACTCATATAATTTAAATATAAAATATAGATATATAAAATTATATTATATATATAATTAATTTTTTTAATATATACCAGATTAATCAATTTAGCTAACAGTTTANATGAGTTATAGTATCACTTCACCACTAATCATCCACATGTTCATTTAACAAGATTACATCTAAATGCATAATAACATCAATCATCACAATATAACATCTCCATCAGAGTTACAACAAAACCCAAGCACACAAACATAATACTTCACACAATTTATATAATAAACATCCAACTTCCATTAACCAATTGCTTACCAACTTAAAACCATTGTTCCATAATTAACATGATCAATAAGATAACAATAGTCCAGTAACATTTAAAGAACAACAAGCAAGTAATGTGTGGCCTTTGTGAGCATGTGTTCATTTTCGTTGGTATTGGATAAGTTATGTGCCTTTGGGTTTTATTCTGATTGTAAAAGATGGATGTCCAAGTATGTAATTAAACCTTTAATTTAAAATGTTCTGATCTTTGTAATATGTATTCTTGTAAAACATACAAATTGTTTTTGCTACATAATTGCTAGATTATCAATGGTCACAATTTTATGCTTTAGTACATGACCTTGGGCTACTATAATGATTTTATGATAAAATATAAATTTGTGGGTTATTAATACGCATGTTTGATTATACAGAACTTGAATTTTGATTGTGATTATGTTTATGTTAAGGACTTATAGTTGGTATGTTTAAGGTATTAGAAGAGTGTTATTTTTGTCCAGAGTAGATGACTTTAGGTTTGATTGGTGCGAGGTTTTGGTTTTAGCAGTGATCATGTTTTTGATGGTTTATCATTGTCATGTTCGAGGGTTAGTGTGAAATACATATTGATTGTTGTATTTATTGGAAGCTTTGGGTACTCATTCATGGAATGGGCATGCTATAGTGATATGTAGTTTGTTAGATTCATGTTTAAGAAATGAATTAGGTAGTAATATTGTAGTCTTGTGCTTTAAGTTTGTAATTGAGTTGTGAGACAATGGATCGTTAGGGGTGTAATTGTTTTATTATACTATGGATCGTCTAAGGGGTCTAATTGAGTGGTTAGACGATAGGTCGTTTAGGGTGTAACTGAGTTGTTAGACGATGGAGTGTATGGGGATATGACTAGGTGGTTAGATGATGGGTCTTCTTAGGGTGTAATTGAGTTGTTAAATGATGTAGATGGACCATCTGGGATGAGGCTAAGTTGTTAGACAATGGGTTGTCTGGGGTGTAACTGAGTATTTAGACAATATGGATAGGTCCTCTAGGGTGAGGCCAAAATGTTTGTCTTGTGATGGTTGTTAAGAATAGATCGTCTATAAGACTAAATTGTCTAAACGCTCTCATGTGTTTTGAAGTTTAACAAAGACTATTAAATGAAATAAGCATATGACAGGTGTTAGAATAACAACATAGGTAAACCATAAGTGATTTATGAAAATGTTGAGACACCCAAATACCTTAGGCAAAGCCTTGAGACTCCACGGATTCTGCATCTCGAGCATAGTATTTGTGTATACTTGGCTCTTGTCTGGGCTTCAAGGAGAGGTTATAGTGGCTCTGGGTTGATCGACTTCCGTGTTTCTAAGTTCGGTGTTCATCGTGACTGGAACAACAAGAGCAACCTCAAGGCTCATCTCCTTTAGGGTTAGCCGACCTATTGTGATTTGTTTGAGCTCAGTGCTGAGGGGAGTGATCCCAACTTTTGGGTGAATCCAACTAAGTCAGGTTGTTTTTGGTGTTTGAGTTTAAGCGTTTCCTGTCTTACAGGTTAGGAGAAGTTCGACTAGAGGATCCTCCGTTCTCAAGGTCGGTCAGTTGTTATTAGAGCTCTTGCAGGTCGACTTTTTGTTGAGTGCATATGGCCTCAAGATCGTCTTCTGGTGCCTACACTACTTATCTTGTTACTGTATGAGCATTTGCATCTAATGGTGAAGGGTGGTCATCTGGTTGACTTCCATCTCTCGGGAGAGTTGTGTTGATTTTTTAGTGGTGAGAATAGGGAGGTGAGACTAGGAAAGCATTTTATCGGGACCCTACGATGGGCACCAATGTTCTTACTCGGATCTTAAGCATGGACTTTTGGACATTTGATGAGATCCTAATGGTGATTTGTTTGTTCCATTTGTATGGAAATTAACTCTTAGCCATTAAGAGGTGAAATATCCACTTACAAAGATTCTCTTATGCTCAAGTCACTAAGAGAGTTATAATCTATAAATGGGAGTTATAATCTATAAATGGGAGTGATAATGATTATGAAGTGTGTATCCCTTAAGAGATACTAATTATATTTATAAAATTAGTAATGTGAACCTATACTCTTATTAAAATAATAATAATAATAATGTAATAAATAGTAACATAATAATAAATAATAACTAATTAAAATCTTGTTATAATATATAAACATGGTTTAAATAGATGTAAATTAAGTTATTCCGTTATAAATAGGCTTAAAATAATTTATTAAACAATGTTATTTAATATGTTTTTGAATCAGATAGGAACAAAGTGTTTTTAGTATAAACAATAGATAACTTTTAAAAAAATAAAACTTCTTAAATTGTGCAAAAAGCTAAACAACTAATCTAGATTTATGTTAGTTGGTTGAAAATGTAGATAATAAAATGTAAGAAAGGTAGAACTCTTTTACCTTATGCAATAATAATATGGTTAAAGGATACGAATTAACTCTTTGTTTTAGTAGGTAATGTTACTCTGGACTTAGTAATTTTATTCTTTTTAACTTCTGTAACGATAATATAGTTAAAGCATGAATTAACTCATAGTACTATTAGTCTATGAGGCTCAATAATTTTATTCTATAACATGCTATATAAACTTCTATAATATTCCAACATATTTAGAAATAAAGAGTCTAAATTTTCCAGAAGAAATTTCTATTTTATGCTTTTTAATATCCTTTTGTAATTTCTTTATTCTTACTTTTATTACTCTCTCTAAATATTTATTTTACATTTTTCTTTTTATCTTTTAATACTTAGTTTTCTTTTGAGGTTGTCAACACACTTTCTTTACAATATTTCTCGTAATATTCTAATGACGGTTTCTTTTTATTATAATAGTAACTGTTTTTCTCAACTGTGTTAATTATTTTTATCACTGAACACACAAATACCACTGTACTATATATTTGTACTGATACCTATACAGTTATTGTAATGTTTATATTATTTAAAACTTTTTTATTTGAAATATTGAATATATTTTAATACTCATATAATTTAAATATAAAATATAGATATATAAAATTATATTATATATATAATTAATTTTTTTAATATATACCAGATTAATCAATTTAGCTAACAGTTTATCCGTTCCATCATTGACTCATTAGTCTAGGATCTCAATTGATTCAATAATGGATCGATTTTGATGACATTGCATCCAGTACTATAAGTTTCTTTGGAAGTCTTTTTGAGTTGAAAGAAGAGGAAAAAAAATAATAACAAAGAGGGTAAAATACGTGAAATTTTTTTATATACGGTCATAAATTATATTTATTAATTTAATAATCGAACTGACTAAAAAAATAACTTTAAAAATGTACTTTTCTCTTGAATCTAAATTGTAATATTGTTTATTCATCCACGCGAATGTCACACACTTATATGTTCTCATAATTAATTCGGAATATAATTATTTATTTATATTTTAATTTGAGTTTATGAAATATTTGCAAGCATGATATTCAAGATTATAATCGTGATATAAAATTATGATTACGCTAATTTCATGAAATAAAATTAGGAATAATAATCGGCTATCTAAAAGTCTAAATCCCGTATTTTTTTATTTTTTTGTTATCCTTGCCGTTTAGTTCATTCGGGCAAGAAAAAAAAGAAGGCAAGAAGACGAGTGCAGTTGTTTGACACTTCGCACTCTCTTTCTTTGGCTTCCAACGGTCCAACTTTGACTCTCTTTGTTCTTTCATCAACTTCCTCCTTCCTCTTCTTCCCATGGCTTGGCAACATTCCCTAAACCCTAGAACAACTCCTTCACCGCTCTGTTTCTGATTCGTCAGTTGCTCTCTCCGTTTACGTTGCCACTTGCGACCATCACTATGAACTGGACCGTTGATCCCGCGCTCTTCGCTTTTCTTTTTCCCTCTCTATGGGAGATCAAAGTCGCCGTCGCCGCCGCTGTCTTCGTCATAATCGCCTATCGCTTCTTCGCCGCCCGAACCGGACACTTCCACGCCGATCCGTCGCTTCCCGACAATTCCACCACAGTCGATGTCGCCGACGATAAGGACAAGGTTATTTTCGTTGTTTTCTGAGTTCTTCGGTTACTTCCGCGCTTCCAATGCTTCGTTACTATTTATATCGTGTATTTTTTAAATCATGGAAGAATTTCGGAGATTCGTTTTCTTTAATCTTTTCTGGCGATCACTTGTATTGTGTTCTATAGAATGATCTTGCAGTTTAATTTTGAATTCCTTTTGTTTATTTTTATGGTTTTAGCGGAATTGATCGGTTTCTCTGAAGTGGAGCAGTTGTGTGAATTCAATTGTGTTGAGTTCGTTATAATTGTGAATTGTGATCACTAGTTCGTTTGTTGTCTGTCAAGAATGGAAGTACTGGTAATGGCTTGAAATCCTCGTTATAGTTGCTTCACGGAGCAATTTTTAACTGGTTAAAGTTTAGTTTTTCTCTACTACGAGTTCGTTAGCATTGTAAATTGTGATCACCGGTTCGTTTGCAGACGTGGCTTGTCAAAAATGGAAATGCTGTTAGGGTTTATAACTCAGTGGCTCAAATTTTTTGCTAGTTACTTCATGGAGTAATTTTGAATTTGGTTGTCATTCAGTTTTATCTCTGATAGGAGTTCCTTCGGATATGAATTGCTGTCACTAGTTATTTTGAATTTTTGTCAAGAACTTAAATACTGTTTGGGTTTATAACTTAGTGCCTCTAGATTTTCCTGTCAGTTGCTGCGTGGTGTAATTTTTAACTTGTTGACATGCAGTTCTGCACTTATTTTTGTAGATGGAGCAGCCTAAAGTGGATTCTCAAGCCAGTTCAGCGTACTTGATCAAGGTATAGGTTTTCTAGCAATATATAGTCTGGACCTCCTTCCCCATGGAATAAGGCAATTTGTCTTGCACTGTATATATGCTGGAATTTATTGATGATATGTGGATTTGTTTTCAAATTCTCTTTGAAGTTAGAACTATTGGCTGCTAAGAATCTTGTTGGTGCAAATTTAAATGGCACATCGGATCCTTATGCTATAATCACATGTGGCAATGAAAAGCGATTCAGGTTTGTTGATCTAGTTATTTCCCTCCTTTATTTGAATTTATCACTCCAAAAATTTGCGGGGAAGAGGAAAATTGTATCTTAAGAGGAGGGGGGAAGGGGAAGGAGGTGTAGGGGGATTTTTTTCCATCTGGAGCCATTGGCTTTTTAGTTTAGAGCTCTCTACTGTAAATCAGCCTTAGTTCTCCTACTTTCTTTTGTAGAGGAATTTAGTTTGTAGCTAATATTATTTGTACTTTGCAAGTTTAGAATTAATCAGGAGGAGTAATACTATGATGCTTGGGAATAAATGTACAACACCCATATATCTATGTGATTGCATGCATACATATGTAATATGTATTGTTTCATAAAGATTTTTTTACTTTAATGCACGTAGTATCTGAATTGACCATAGAATGACAAGAAAATAAGGAATGTGCGCTGTCAGAGTCTGTTAGAGGTTTTAGAACGGATATGATAATACTTTTCTCATACTCAGCATATCTTCCCAAAAGAAATATATTTTTTTTCTCAACATTGTTTATTGGGCTCTGGTGTGGTGATGCAGTTCCATGGTCCCTGGTTCAAGAAAACCAATGTGGGGTGAGGAGTTCAATTTTTCTGTTGATGAACTTCCTGTCCAGGTATCTGACATTATCTATCACATATGTGTCAAATTGGAGTAATTATCACCTATTCATGATTTTTGTTTTAATTTTAAACTTTTCTTCTAAGAACATGCTCAGTATTCTTTTCTTTCTGTTTGTTTTACCGTGATTTATGTCTTAGAGGACAAATTTTCATGTAATGTGATAATATATATGTTTTGCAGTGGATAATGCTTCTATCTAATTNTAAGGGGTCTAATTGAGTGGTTAGACGATAGGTCGTTTAGGGTGTAACTGAGTTGTTAGACGATGGAGTGTATGGGGATATGACTAGGTGGTTAGATGATGGGTCTTCTTAGGGTGTAATTGAGTTGTTAAATGATGTAGATGGACCATCTGGGGTGAGGCTAAGTTGTTAGACAATGGGTTGTCTGGGGTGTAACTGAGTCTTTAGACAATATGGATAGGTCCTCTAGGGTGAGGCCAAAATGTTTGTCTTGTGATGGTTGTTAAGAATAGATCGTCTATAAGACTAAATTGTCTAAACGCTCTCATGTGTTTTGAAGTTTAACAAAGACTATTAAATGAAATAAGCATATGACAGGTGTTAGAATAACAACATAGGTAAACCATAAGTGATTTATGAAAATGTTGAGACACCCAAATACCTTAGGCAAAGCCTTGAGACTCCACGGATTCTGCATCTCGAGCATAGTATTTGTGTATACTTGGCTCTTGTCTGGGCTTCAAGGAGAGGTTATAGTGGCTCTGGGTTGATCGACTTCCGTGTTTCTAAGTTCGGTGTTCATCGTGACTGGAACAACAAGAGCAACCTCAAGGCTCATCTCCTTTAGGGTTAGCCGACCTATTGTGATTTGTTTGAGCTCAGTGCTGAGGGGAGTGATCCCAACTTTTGGGTGAATCCAACTAAGTCAGGTTGTTTTTGGTGTTTGAGTTTAAGCGTTTCCTGTCTTACAGGTTAGGAGAAGTTCGACTAGAGGATCCTCCGTTCTCAAGGTCGGTCAGTTGTTATTAGAGCTCTTGCAGGTCGACTTTTTGTTGAGTGCATATGGCCTCAAGATCGTCTTCTGGTGCCTACACTACTTATCTTGTTACTGTATGAGCATTTGCATCTATTGGTGAAGGGTGGTCATCTGGTTGACTTCCATCTCTCGGGAGAGTTGTGTTGATTTTTTAGTGGTGAGAATAGGGAGGTGAGACTAGGAAAGCATTTTATCGGGACCCTACGATGGGCACCAATGTTCTTACTCGGATCTTAAGCATGGACTTTTGGACATTTGATGAGATCCTAATGGTGATTTGTTTGTTCCATTTGTATGGAAATTAACTCTTAGCCATTAAGAGGTGAAATATCCACTTACAAAGATTCTCTTATGCTCAAGTCACTAAGAGAGTTATAATCTATAAATGGGAGTTATAATCTATAAATGGGAGTGATAATGATTATGAAGTGTGTATCCCTTAAGAGATACTAATTATATTTATAAAATTAGTAATGTGAACCTATACTCTTATTAAAATAATAATAATAATGTAATAAATAGTAACATAATAATAAATAATAACTAATTAAAATCTTGTTATAATATATAAACATGGTTTAAATAGATGTAAATTAAGTTATTCCGTTATAAATAGGCTTAAAAGAATTTATTAAACAATGTTATTTAATATGTTTTTGAATCGGATAGGAACAAAGTGTTTTTAGTATAAACAATAGATAACTTTTAAAAAAATAAAACTTCTTAAATTGTGCAAAAAGCTAAACAACTAATCTAGATTTATGTTAGTTGGTTGAAAATGTAGATAATAAAATGTAAGAAAGGTAGAACTCTTTTACCTTATGCAATAATAATATGGTTAAAGGATACGAATTAACTCTTTGTTTTAGTAGGTAATGTTACTCTGGACTTAGTAATTTTATTCTTTTTAACTTCTGTAACGATAATATAGTTAAAGCATGAATTAACTCATAGTACTATTAGTCTATGAGGCTCAATAATTTTATTCTATAACATGCTATATAAACTTCTATAATATTCCAACATATTTAGAAATAAAGAGTCTAAATTTTCCAGAAGAAATTTCTATTTTATGCTTTTTAATATCCTTTTGTAATTTCTTTATTCTTACTTTTATTACTCTCTCTAAATATTTATTTTACATTTTTCTTTTTATCTTTTAATACTTAGTTTTCTTTTGAGGTTGTCAACACACTTTCTTTACAATATTTCTCGTAATATTCTAATGACGGTTTCTTTTTATTATAATAGTAACTGTTTTTCTCAACTGTGTTAATTATTTTTATCACTGAACACACAAATACCACTGTACTATATATTTGTACTGATACCTATACAGTTATTGTAATGTTTATATTATTTAAAACTTTTTTATTTGAAATATTGAATATATTTTAATACTCATATAATTTAAATATAAAATATAGATATATAAAATTATATTATATATATAATTAATTTTTTTAATATATACCAGATTAATCAATTTAGCTAACAGTTTATCCGTTCCATCATTGACTCATTAGTCTAGGATCTCAATTGATTCAATAATGGATCGATTTTGATGACATTGCATCCAGTACTATAAGTTTCTTTGGAAGTCTTTTTGAGTTGAAAGAAGAGGAAAAAAAATAATAACAAAGAGGGTAAAATACGTGAAATTTTTTTATATACGGTCATAAATTATATTTATTAATTTAATAATCGAACTGACTAAAAAAATAACTTTAAAAATGTACTTTTCTCTTGAATCTAAATTGTAATATTGTTTATTCATCCACGCGAATGTCACACACTTATATGTTCTCATAATTAATTCGGAATATAATTATTTATTTATATTTTAATTTGAGTTTATGAAATATTTGCAAGCATGATATTCAAGATTATAATCGTGATATAAAATTATGATTACGCTAATTTCATGAAATAAAATTAGGAATAATAATCGGCTATCTAAAAGTCTAAATCCCGTATTTTTTTATTTTTTTGTTATCCTTGCCGTTTAGTTCATTCGGGCAAGAAAAAAAAGAAGGCAAGAAGACGAGTGCAGTTGTTTGACACTTCGCACTCTCTTTCTTTGGCTTCCAACGGTCCAACTTTGACTCTCTTTGTTCTTTCATCAACTTCCTCCTTCCTCTTCTTCCCATGGCTTGGCAACATTCCCTAAACCCTAGAACAACTCCTTCACCGCTCTGTTTCTGATTCGTCAGTTGCTCTCTCCGTTTACGTTGCCACTTGCGACCATCACTATGAACTGGACCGTTGATCCCGCGCTCTTCGCTTTTCTTTTTCCCTCTCTATGGGAGATCAAAGTCGCCGTCGCCGCCGCTGTCTTCGTCATAATCGCCTATCGCTTCTTCGCCGCCCGAACCGGACACTTCCACGCCGATCCGTCGCTTCCCGACAATTCCGCCACAGTCGATGTCGCCGACGATAAGGACAAGGTTATTTTCGTTGTTTTCTGAGTTCTTCGGTTACTTCCGCGCTTCCAATGCTTCGTTACTATTTATATCGTGTATTTTTTAAATCATGGAAGAATTTCGGAGATTCGTTTTCTTTAATCTTTTCTGGCGATCACTTGTGTTGTGTTCTATAGAATGATCTTGCAGTTTAATTTTGAATTCCTTTTGTTTATTTTTATGGTTTTAGCGGAATTGATCGGTTTCTCTGAAGTGGAGCAGTTGTGTGAATTCAATTGTGTTGAGTTCGTTATAATTGTGAATTGTGATCACTAGTTCGTTTGTTGTCTGTCAAGAATGGAAGTACTGGTAATGGCTTGAAATCCTCGTTATAGTTGCTTCACGGAGCAATTTTTAACTGGTTAAAGTTTAGTTTTTCTCTACTACGAGTTCGTTAGCATTGTAAATTGTGATCACCGGTTCGTTTGCAGACGTGGCTTGTCAAAAATGGAAATGCTGTTAGGGTTTATAACTCAGTGGCTCAAATTTTTTGCTAGTTACTTCATGGAGTAATTTTGAATTTGGTTGTCATTCAGTTTTATCTCTGATAGGAGTTCCTTCGGATATGAATTGCTGTCACTAGTTATTTTGAATTTTTGTCAAGAACTTAAATACTGTTTGGGTTTATAACTTAGTGCCTCTAGATTTTCCTGTCAGTTGCTGCGTGGTGTAATTTTTAACTTGTTGACATGCAGTTCTGCACTTATTTTTGTAGATGGAGCAGCCTAAAGTGGATTCTCAAGCCAGTTCAGCGTACTTGATCAAGGTATAGGTTTTCTAGCAATATATAGTCTGGACCTCCTTCCCCATGGAATAAGGCAATTTGTCTTGCACTGTATATATGCTGGAATTTATTGATGATATGTGGATTTGTTTTCAAATTCTCTTTGAAGTTAGAACTATTGGCTGCTAAGAATCTTGTTGGTGCAAATTTAAATGGCACATCGGATCCTTATGCTATCATCACATGTGGCAATGAAAAGCGATTCAGGTTTGTTGATCTAGTTATTTCCCTCCTTTATTTGAATTTATCACTCCAAAAATTTGCGGGGAAGAGGAAAATTGTATCTTAAGAGGAGGGGGGAAGGGGACGGAGGTGTAGGGGGATTTTTTTCCATCTGGAGCCATTGGCTTTTTAGTTTAGAGCTCTCTACTGTAAATCAGCCTTAGTTCTCCTACTTTCTTTTGTAGAGGAATTTAGTTTGTAGCTAATATTATTTGTACTTTGCAAGTTTAGAATTAATCAGGAGGAGTAATACTATGATGCTTGGGAATAACTGTACAACACCCATATATCTATGTGATTGCATGCATACATATGTAATATGTATTGTTTCATAAAGATTTTTTTACTTTAATGCACGTAGTATCTGAATTGACCATAGAATGACAAGAAAATAAGGAATGTGCGCTGTCAGAGTCTGTTAGAGGTTTTAGAACGGATATGATAATACTTTTCTCATACTCAGCATATCTTCCCAAAAGAAATATATTTTTTTTCTCAACATTGTTTATTGGGCTCTGGTGTGGTGATGCAGTTCCATGGTCCCTGGTTCAAGAAACCCAATGTGGGGTGAGGAGTTCAATTTTTCT